CAATCTCACCTTCTTCTTCTTCTTTTTCTTCCGTCACATTCTACTTATTATTATGATCATATACGGTACAGCATGTAATTGGAACATTACTTAAGATTTTCTTGTACACTTTTTTCATGTATTAAAAAAAAAAATATATATATAGGTGGACTTGGTAGGAGGTTACTATGATGCAGGGGACAACGTTAAGTTTGGTTTGCCAATGGCCTTTACCATTACGATGCTTTCCTGGAGCGTCATACAATACGGGAAGAGATTGCGGCCGCGGGCGAGTATCGCCACGCGCTCGAAGCAATCAAATGGGGGACTGACTACTTCATCAAAGCACATTCTCAGCCTCATGTCTTGTGGGTTCAGGTAATTTATACCCATTTTTACTGCACCCAATTATTAAAAAATAAGTGACGACGAGGCAAGCGATTCAAATTTCAAACTGTTTTTTCTTTTTAAGCAAAGAAATTATGCCCATGTTGAAAAAATTATGGACTTGTCTAAAGTCTCTGTATGTAGCAAGACATGCTAAGCCGTATCAAATGTTCCCTCACGCGCAGCATTCTGCCCCGAAGAAATTGCTCCAATCACGCCGGAGACGTGATTTTATTCATTCACACCATAGATTTTTTGCGTGGGTCCAAATCTTTTCTGGTCAAATATTTGTACAAACAAACTACTGTTTTTGTCCTAAGCATGTCAAGTTAACGTTGATCCTTCAGGTGGGTGACGGGACACGGATCACTACTGTTGGCAAAGACCGGAGGACATGACGACGTCCCGAAGAGCTTACAAGATTGACGAGGATCATCCGGGTTCGGACGTCGCCGGAGAAACGGCGGCTGCAATGGCGGCAGCATCCATTGTGTTTAGGAGAACCAATCCTCATTACTCCCAACTTCTGTTGGATCATGCGCAACAAGTAAGTTGAGTTCAGTTAGTTAATTAATGAGGTTGTTATGACTTGTTAGTTAGAGGGATAGGTACGTTGGGTTTGATTGATCTTCAGTAGATTAGATTCAACTAATTACGTACACAATTCAGACTACAATCTATGCCCGCACGCAAATGCAATTCAATTCAATTCAATTCAGACTGCTCGAATAGAATATCTTTGTGCTATGCCATCAGATGATAGCGACCAACCAAACTGAACTAAAGCAGAATGTCTGATTAATATATACAAGTAATGGTATAAGTATTTCTTTTGGAGGTACCGTTCAGCTAATCAAAGACTATATGATAGCAAGGCAACTAATAAATTTCTGTCTCCTTTAATTTTAAAAGTGGATTAGTAATTAACTTACTGTATCAATGGTCACAGAAAAAAAACTGTGATTTGAGAGTTTTGCAACTACACTGCACAACACACATGCACATGCATATGCACAGATGTGGGGTTTGATTAAATTCGTTGCGCAGTTGTTTGAGTTTGGTGACAAGTATAGAGGGAAATACGATAGCAGCATAGGGGCGGCGAAGGGGTACTATCCGTCGGTGAGTGGTTACATGGATGAGTTGTTGTGGGGAGCATTGTGGCTGTATAAGGCCACCGACAGGGCAGATTATTTGAATTATGCAATTGGAAAGGCTCAATTTTTGGTGGATCACTTGGGCCATGCAAGAATTCAGCTGGGATGTCAAGTATGCTGGTGTCCAGGTTATTGCTGCCATGGTAAACTTGCTTTTTCCCTCTTCCCATGTTTTCCACTGCCTCATCCAAGACCAACACACTTTAGTTATGGCTCTTTTTAGTCTTCATAGTTGGCTTTTTCCCATTACGTGTTTCACTGCATCGTTTCTTTTGCTTTCAGTTCAGAAATCAACCAACACACTTTAGTTTAAGGTTTAAGGTTTTACGTACAGAGCCCATGTGAATTTCATTTCATATCGGAAATACTACCACCACTGTGGTTAAATCATCATTTGATTAAAATGATGATATGGTGTGGGAAGGACCTGCCCATCCGCCGCCATTAATTTTACTGTTAGGTGTGGGAAGGACAAAAGGATGACCCCTCCGACCTCCAGAATCCAATAATCCAAAAGATTTTATGTCTTTCTCTGCCATCCACATTATTTGAGCGGCAAATAGTAGTAGATTGGGGTAATGAGCGCAAGACAGAATTAGGAAAGAAAGCAATTAAAACGTCACATTATGATTGTTAGATTCATGCACAAGATTCGCACAGATTCCATGACGGTGGGGAAGAATTAGTTGTTCTTAGGGTCCGTTTGCTTCAGTGCAAAATATTTTCCGAAAAATCCTTTCCAAAATTTCCCAGTGTTTGGATGCAATTAGACCACTGAAAACCTTTTTTTTTTTTGGGAAAATGATCTGCATTCTCTTGTGGAAAACAACTTACACAATAGATCTTTAGAAGTTATTTTTTCCACTTGCCATGAGTTACGAACCTAATATTTCAAACTGCCTATTCGTATTACCACTACATATTCTTATGGAACCTTGCTTTCTAGTTTGGAAAAGAATCAGTTTATGCCTTTAAGAATGATAGACAACGTAGAGCGGAGTACTTGCATATAGGGCTGCAAACGAACTGAGTCGCTCGCGAGTCAAGCTCGATCAATATCGAGCTCGAACTCGAGTTCAAGATATTAAGCCCAGCTCGAATATATATATATATATATATATATATATATATATATATATATATATATATATATATATATATTTTTTTATTTTAAGAATATATATATTATTTTTATTTTAAGTATATATATTTTTTTATTTTAATAGTAAAATTACATATATATTCTTAATATTTTATTATTTATTAAGAAAAAATATTATTATTTATTTTTTAAAAAATAAAATAATTGATTGGAGCTCGAGCTTTAAATTGTTGGCTTGTCGAGCTCGAGCTCGAGTTCAAGTTCACTAAAATTAAGTCAAGCCTCAGCTCGATTAGGTCAAAACTCTACTCGACTTGACTCATTTGCAGCTCTACTTGCAGATATTCTGTCGAAATGACATTTTAAAAATTAACCAAACATCAGAAAAGCATGAAACATCAAAATATTTTCATGGAAAATGTCTTTTACTGAAAATATTTTCTCATGGAAAACATTTTACGTCGAAACAAAGGGACCCTCAGTATAATGATAACGGGGTCGATTTGCTAATGGCCCTATTTGTATCCCAGACTGGGTCGGTCAGAAGGGAAAGCAAATGGGATTCATCCCATACATTCAATACTGCATTGAAGGTAAAAATTAGAAATTATTTTCCTTTTTGTAACTGATGAAGCTTAATGGGGATTGTGATTTATGCACTAGGCAGCACTAAATACAACAGCAAATCAATACTTGAATAAAATTGAAAATACTTTTCCCTGTTTAATGGCTTTTCTACAATTTATCCATACGTTTCCTTTCATGCAGCTGGGCATGAAAAAAAAGCATGAAGAACACAGTCAGATTCTCCAAGAATACCGCTTCAAAGCAGAATACTACATCTGTGCCTGCCTGAACAAGAACAATACAACCAATATACATCGAACCCCAGGTGGCCTCATCTACATCCGCCAATGGAACAACATGCAGTATGTTTCATCTGCAACATTTTTGCTTATGGCCTACTCTGATCATCTCCGAGCTGCCAATCAAAAGCTCAATTGCCACGGAGGAGTCTTAGTGGGTCCAGATGATATATCATCCTTCGCAAAATCACAGGTTGATTACATCTTAGGCTCTAATCCGATGGCCATCAGCTACTTGGTTGGCTACGGTTCAAGGTACCCCCAGAGGGTGCATCACAGAGGAGCATCCATGGAGTCTTATAGGAATAACAAGGGATTTATCGGCTGCACACAAGGTTATGATAACTGGTATGGACGCCAGGAATCAAATCCTAATGTCCTGGTGGGAGCACTGGTAGGTGGACCAGATATTAAGGACCAATTTAGAGATGGTAGGGAAAATTATGTGCAGACAGAAGCCTGCACTTATAATACTGCGCGCCTCTTGTTGGAGTTTTTGCTAACCTGCATGCATTAGAACAGAAGAATACTAGTCACGTTTTTGATCCTCCGTTAATTGCTTCAAGCTAGAGACCATGTACAGTAGAGGAGTCAAAAGACAATCAAGGTGCCGTTATCCCACCTCAAATAATCTTTGCAGATTTGAAAAAAAAACCAAATGTTATAGGAAAAAAAGAAAAGAGTGACAAATCTTGTGTGAAATTTTGGTGTTCAACATCCTTGTATTTTCCTCCAATTTGACTTGGAGATCATTATCATTTTCTATGCTATACTTTGAGCAAAGGGCTACTCGAATACAATGGGTTCCACTTGCAATTCACCACCTTCAATTTCTACCACTACCCAACAATTCTGAAGCATTAGAACAATCTCAAAAGTTAAAGACAAGCATGAACTTCCTTTACCAGCTTTAGAAAAAAAAAAAGAAAAAAAAGAAAAGGGCTAAGTAACCAGATAACTACTAAAGATTACTGGTATCATTTCTAAACGTCATTCACCACCTTCAACTTTCTCAGAGATTTGACCAGATTTAAAGCCCGTTCAACAAACAGGGTTTTCTATATAAGCTGATGCATCGAACGATTTAACATACACCAGGCCATGAGCGAAAATATAACATATCTGCTTTTCTTTTGTTTCTCTATCTCATTCCTTGGTTAAATGAGCTGGAGTTGCTCTTGTTTCTTGGCTGGTGTTCAAGGTTGGAGAAGGAAAGAGAGGTTTTCTGTTTTTCCTTCTTGTTGTTTCTCGTTTTAGCCAACAGAGGAAGTGAATGGAACGTGGTTTGTTTTCCTTTCTTGTTTTCTCTCAGCCAACTAAGAATGAAGCACTAGCTTTGATTCTTCCATTAGTTCCTCCACTAATGCTTGGACACATGTGAAGGCAAGTATCTTCCACTTTTTCTTTTCTTTTTTTTTTTTCCTAACACCACAACATATTCTAAATAATACTAATGGTTTACGGTGTAAAAGGTTTTCTACAAACATGAGTGCCAAATAAATCCGACGGTTTAGTCCACTAATCTATGATCTCATTCCAAAAGAAAAAACCTCTCATGAAAAAAGCATTAACTGCCTATGTCTCTGCAGTCTGAACTAAATTTGCAACACTTCAAATTTTATTCATCCGCCAGGAGATTACAAGCTTTAACACAAGTTCGGCCACTAATGAAACTTCTGTTCTTCAAAGATCTGAATCACAATCAGTACTATGCTATGTATCTGCAGAACAGAGAACATTACATAAATGGAAGGACCAAACCAGAGAATTACACTAATGGATAAGACAGCAAATAAACAATTGCACGTTCAACTACATCGGATAAAGAAATGAAAACAGCACAATGAAGCATAGAATCTTATACACGAGCCTTGTATCCAGCCCTCTTTCCTTCCTCCCAAATTCGATATCCTGTTTTGTCACTACGTCATGTTTCAAGCCAGACAATTCTATTGCTTTGCGTCACATTTTAAATAAGACAATTTGCAATGACAATCTAGCTGCAGGAGACAATCTTCAATCTATTTCTCAAATCAATACGATTTCTTCTGTTCATCGTCATCCCCACTTATCTCATCTAACCTGAAATTTTACAAACATCATCCTGATATAATTTGTAGAGAAAAAAGGTCCAGCACTACCCTCACCAACCGCAAAACACATCACCATTTTACCTGTAGACACGTTATTAATGCTTTATCTACCTTCAAAAGTGTGCTTCTGTGTCTGTGTTCACTTGTATGTAGAGAGATTAAAGCAGAAAAATAAAAGAAGCATGCCTCGAAGAATCTCTAAGATAACTGAAAGGATTCAGTCTTTGGGGCTGGATGATGACTAATAACCAACGGTGGTCGCAGAGCTCTGTGATTAGCCTCTTCGTTTCCGAGCCTCGTGCATTTCCTTTGTCTCAATTGCAACCAATCGTTTTACCTGATATGAACCAATACACATAACAGAAAGAATAGTAATGACTATTTGCAATCTTATTGAAGAATTGTCAGTTGCCAAACCAGAGTATGACCACATAAGACAAATATGCAGTTGGATCAAGCTAATTTCAGAACCTGCTGAAGCATTCCACGAACTGTAGGAGTATTTTTTCGCACAACTGTGCGGTTGCATTTGCGAAGGCGCAGCGCCTCTAATGTCCGCCTATGGAGCTCCCTGGTTCCAGGGATACCCCTAACAAGGGTTATGTAGAGCTTATCACTCCATTCAATCGGCACGCAAGCTTTAAAAGCCTTGAAAGCGCTCATTTCTTCCTGGTTGAGCACTGCTGTCCAGTTTCCAGATTGATCAGTAACTGAGTGTGGCTGTAACTTGGCAGGTCATAACATAAATTATCTTATTAAACCTAGCACTCAACAATAATCTGCTAGCCAAACAGGCAAAGCGAGAAAGAATTTGTTACCGAAGTGGTTAACAAAAAAGAAACTGCTTTGACATTTGAAACTGACAAGCAAATTAATGTGCTAGTAACTCTAGGGTGTTCATGAGCCTAATCAGTTGGACACAATGTTAAAGCTTGGATTAATTTTTCATGAGCATAATTTTGCAGAAAAGCTTTGCTTGGTTCTTCTATATGCAAATTCTCAAGTGTTATCCTTGTCAAGCTGAGCCTGAGCTTAAATAATTAAAAGGAGCAAGAAATCTTGCTCGCGTTAGATTTGATTACTTGACGAATCAATTTAGAACATATTCTCATTGAACAGAGCTCCAGTCTAGTATTGACAATTGAATAGCATGATTATGTTTTTCAGCTGTAGCTAAATCCAAGTGCCAATCACTTTAAACTTGACGTAAACCAAATAAAATCCAAATGAGACTGGAAAAAGTTTAATTCCCCAAATTTCTAAACCTAGTAACTTGATAAAAAAATTTAACAAAAAAAAGAGAAAAACTCTATAATCCAGAATATCCGTTTCACCAAAATCCCCAATCAAACAAGTTTATTCGGCTAAGCACAAAGACTCAATTTTTATTCACACCCCATGTTTACAAAGTAAGAGAAGCGCACAAATTTATTAGTGCATTGCGAATGCTGCTATATATGATGTAATTACTCTTGAACATCCGGATTAATAAAAGGGCAAGAAGAGAAGTACAAATGATGTTACCAAGTGGTTTCCGAGTCCTGGGAGTTTCGGTTGGAGCAGAAGACGGGTGAGGTTTGTATTCCGGCTACAATGAAAAGTTTGAAAACTCGACTCTTGAGAGAAAATGGGCTCACTACTGAAAGGTCTTGGTCCCACCTGACTGAGATAGGTTATAGGTCGGACTAGAACTCAAATACTTACTTTTTCTTTTTTTATCCTACCATCCACCATTCCTTTTTTTTTTTTTTTTCTTGAAGTAACCATCCACCATTCTTCGCAACCTTTTTAATTTTCATCTCTAATTGTGAGATACAAGATTTAAACTTAAATCCTCCCTTCAATTCAAATTTTTAATTTGTGAATAATAATTTTCTTCACTAATATATGTCCAATATCCGTAACACAAGATATGTCAGTATAATTGGAACCAGCAGTTGATTAAAATAGTTGATATATAATAAAAAATATAAAAAAAAGTTATTTATACTTCCATTTTTTGTTAATCAGACACCCGCTATCATATTAATCATATAAATTTTATTTATTAGATTATATGATAAAATAAATGGTGAAAGTACAAATAATAAAAAATAAAATGTAAATAACATTTTTCAAACATGTACATAATAGCTAGGATATATACATTACGTAATTTACCCATCAAAAGCTACGAAGTAGTAAGGTAAATCATTCTCGTTCAGTGAGCACCAAACAAAGATGATGCATGATCAAGTGACATGCCACCTGATGCTTATCCTTCCTTCGGCACCTTTCCAGGCTATCACATTGCGTACTACTCAGTATACGTAATTGAGGCTGCGTTTGTGATTGTTATTTGGGATAATTGCAGAAACCTCTCGTGAGATTTCCAACAGTTGTACTCACCACTCTTAAGGTTTGAAAAATAACACTAACCTCCTCTAACATGAATTTGGGGCATATATAGTTGACATAAGATATGATAAATTTACCTCTGTATCCTAAGAATTTAACATTTGTTAGTAAATAAATTTGGGGCAAAAAAATTAGAGTAATAAACAAGTCTAAGATAGCTAATTAAACAAAATTAACATTTACTTTATTAAGCACTATAAGTGCACTTACAAAATGGCACCAATTGATGATCCAACATAGTGTCATTTTATGATTGACAACACTTGAGAGAACAATTCAAATAATATATTTTCTACATAGAAGAGAAGCAGAAGCAAGAAATATGTAGGAGAAATAAACCTCCAAAGAAGGCTTCATAGAAGAATAAGTTTTGGTGGTTTTGGTTGGATTTATTTCATCTCATGCATTCATGAAACAAAAGAAGAAAGAAAGTAGAAATCAAGGCAAAATCTGAGGATTTTTCTGTTAAAAATTTGTGACAATCAGAAGATGATAGGTAAGTAATTTTTTATCATCTCAATTTAATACACAAAATTGTGGTGTTAGTTATAGTATGATAAAATTGTTGTGTTGATCACGAGAGAGCATAGCTATGTACGAAATATAGTAAATAGTGTAAAATCAATATACTATAAGGATTATTCTTTTCTACACTAACAGTGTATACACTATCAGCATTTGATGAATGACAATTATGTAAAATTTGAATTTTAAATTCAATTTTTGCACACATGTCATGAATTCAACAATGATAGTGTATACATTGTCAGTGTAGGAAAGATTTACTCATACTATAAGGATTAGCATGACAATAAAAAACTCTCTTGTACTGATCAAAGATGAATTTTCTTGATTGATCAATAGTTTCTTTATATGCTTTAGAATATCAGATTTTTGAACACATGTTTGTTACTTCTTGTAGCTTTTACTGCTGCCATTATTCTTTTTGCACATATATCCTCTAAGTTTCACTAATTGTTCTCATCTTTAATGTTTTTCATTCTTTTACTAATACAACCTTGCAAGAGGCAAAACGAGTACAAATGAAACAAAATTATTATCTCACTTTTCAAAAGATTTTTTTTAATGACACTTTCTCTAACATGGGCTAAAGTTGCCATCAAAATCTTAAGTTCAGGGGAGTTAGTGCTATTTACAAACCTTAGAAGAGATGAGTGCAACTATTAGAAACCTGGGGGGAGGTTTCTGCAATTATCCTTAAATATTTTTGCTGCCTGCCACGTGGCAGACTACTGTCTCCAAGCTATAAGCTTTGCACCAGTGACTTGCTGGCCTTAGCAAGTGATGAAAAGGTACATAGCCAATTCAATTTCTTTCTCATTATTTTCAATTCTTCTGGTGCTTTAGGATCACCGAGACAAAAGAGTAATCAGGATTTGTGTAAACCAACAATTCTCTTTCTTCATCACTGCTCGAATTCAGTATGGGAGGCAAACTTCTGCAATTCTATAACTTGTCACAGACTTGCCGAATCAGATATCTACCTGTCAAACCCATTACCTTCAGGGTACAAGTAATCATCTAATTCCTTCCTGTTCATGCCTTTTTTTTCCTTTGTTAAGTGTTTTAGTGTTTGCAGTTTACCTAAGACTTGGTTTGTCTGGTGATGGTGACCAGATGTATAGCCAACTTAGCAAGCAGGGACAGAAAGAAAATGGTTCAAAAAAGAAACCAGACCACCACCGAGATGGCCGTCCAGCGGAGAGAGCAGCTTCGACGGCTGAAGAGTTCAGACGGGTGGCGGAAGAAAAAGCTCGCCAGGGAACAACTAGTCAGACCGTAGAAAAGGAAGCTGATGCGTTTCAAGAAACCATGGCTGGTGACACCAGTTTTGAAACTGTGAAAGAAAGTTTCAAGAAGCCTCCTGGTAGGGGAAACATCCACAAGACGGGTGATGAGAGTGATCCCGTGGAGAAATAATCAAGTCTTTGCAGTTTTCCAAGGCTTTTGTATACATGAAAAAGAAGTCAAGTGATCAGTCAGAACCCTTTTTGTGTTATGCCTAGACGTTTGATTCTAGGATTTTGTTCTTAATTAATGTAGTATTTAAAGTGCTATATGGTCCAGTCTTTGATTGCATGGATGTTTGGTTTGTTCTTGTTCTGAAACACTAGGTGAAATGGCTTTTTGTATGTAATATTTGCGAGATAAACTGCAGATCTTTTCATACACAGTGCTGAAAGAAATAATTGCTTTTATCTTATTTTCAACTCCGTTGAAAATGGATGACCATCTTGTATTATTACTACTGCTACTACTACTACTTGAATAGAGAATTTTCAATCTTCCTATTCTGGATGGACGTATGTTTTGTTACAGATTAAGCAACGCCATGAAAAATGATATAAACTGCAAGCAACGTGGGGAAAGTTGGAGCAAAGAGTGCAAATCGCAAGGATTTGGCAAATAGTAGCCAAATATATCGATTTCATCATGCAGAACTGAGGGTTTTTCATTTCTCGGGCACATCATCATTGATTAGAATCGGAAAATGCAGCTAAAGTTAGCCATCAATGTGTGCCAAAGTAAGGTACAACTCGGCAGCAAGTATGAATTTTGTGCTCATATCAATCGTCAAAGGAAAATTAGCCAAAAAGCCTCTTAAAAGTGAAACCTAGCTGCTCCACATAGAAGCAAGCACCACTGGCTACTGTAGGAAAGAAAACCCATGGCCATCTTCTACCAACCAAGAAGTAAAAGCTTTAAAAGAGCCATTCTAATGTAGAGACCATTCTTCGCTTAAGTAGGCAGCTCTTGGATCTTTGTCCACATCCACCGTTATCTATATTAGAGAGTGAAGGAAAACAGCTGGTAATCAGGGAAAATTATGGATGCCAAGTATCACCTAAAATCCTGTTAGTACGGGTGGCAAGCTTACCTCGTCAAGCCTTGGGAGAGGATGCATCACTACTGCATGTTTTTGCAATACATTAAAGACGTCCTGGTTAACAATATACTTGCCTCTAGCTATAAAGATCAATCCTTTCTCCAAATCTTTCTCGTTGGATTCGGGTTTGATAAATGACGTCACATTTAGAAGCAACATCCATTAAATCTGCACTTTCTTCCCATTCAATCCCCATAGATGTCAGATAATCCTTTATGTCATTCTGAAAATACAGTTGAAAAGAAATTGCTGAGTGGCAATCCTCTGTTTCACATGTAATTAAGCGTCCAAATTATTAGCAGAAAGCAGGAGGAGCATGACTCCCAGCTTTCTAAATCAACAAATTAAGTTTATTGGAATTGCTTTGAGGATGCAAAAGCAGAAGAAAAAACCAAGTTTTGAAAAATGCTACACCGTACCTTCATTCTTACAACATCAGGTGACACAAAGTAGATTTTCACATCATGGTACTTGGCTAGTAAATGAGCAAGTGATCGAACTGTTCTTCCATAGGCAAGATCTCCAACTAGTCCGACTTTAATTCCATCGAGCTTTCCAATCTCTCTTTCAATGGTGTATGCATCAAGAAGGGCCTGTGTTGCAACATGTGATAGAAATTATTGACAAACATTATTGCAAAGAAACCTAAACATGAATGTGTTGCCCCAGAAAAAATCAATGGAAACACGGAAAATCTTATTTAGATGCTTGAGACATTCCACATAATCATTAATATTTGGAAGTTGGATGAGAATTGCAGTGGAAGTACTTTTAATCCCTCCAAAACCACATCCCATCCAGAATCAAGATAACACTCCGTATCGAAGAAATGCATGCTACTAATTCACAACTTTTGAGATATTTGTGACAAATGGAGATGAGTAACATTATGGACAAACCATAACCAGCAAAGCAGAGCAGAATCTCGAAAGAATAATCAGGATTAAATTATACGTAGCAGAAAACCTGAGTTGGATGCTGTCCGGGACCATCTCCAGCATTAATAATGGGAATGCTGGCTGTTGTTGCTGCTCTTCTGGCAGCACCACTTTCAAAGTGTCTCATCACAATTATGTCTGAGTAACCTTCAACTGTCCTTATAGTATCTGCATATAAAAAGCCCAACTTACAATGGAAACAACAAAACCACTTGTCAGGGGTTTGGAAAATGACTACCTTCAAGTGTCTCGCCTTTTGCTGCTGATGAGAACTCGCGTGCATTTTCTGTCGTCAGAACCTCCCCACCCAAACGCTTCATGGCAGACTCAAATGACAGCCTAGTCCTAGTTGAGGGCTCATAAAAAAGTGTGGCCATTAGATACCCTTTAAGAAGTTGACTTCCAGGAGTATTCTTCTCAACCAACTCCATCTCACGTGCCACTTCAAATATTGCATTCAGTGTCTCTCTGTCAAATTGCTGAGCCTCAATGACATCCTCAAGTTGAAACTTATTCCCAACCATGACTGATGGTGTATTCTCAACCTCGAATGCACTGCATATGACTCTATTCTTGGAGACTAACCTTCCATTTGGTTGCAGCTCAAAAGGAATTTCGACTGACAAGGAACTAGGCTTACCACAAATTGATTGCTTTAATTGCAGGATTGAACAACTGTAAGTATGCTCATTAAAAGTATTGGCCCACATTGTCCTGGAAGCAAGCTTACTTCCATGCAATGCATATGTAGAAAATGCAGCAGAAGATGCCATTACAGTAGGAATATCTACCAAGCAGAAACATGAGAAGTTCTTATTAGAAAACTTTCTCACTAGAGAAGGAAAATGAGCAATAAAATTAAAGAAACTATTGAAATCATTTAGGAATAAGAAACAGCAACACCCAGGGTGTGACAGACTTAACAGCTGAGAGAGGAAAACAAACACAGAATTCCCAGGCAATGACTCCAGAGAAATATAGTACACATTGAATCAAATTACAAGATGATGATTGATGTAGAAATCCTTTTTGTCTTTTTACCTTAAATGCTCATTCTCAACTAAATCTACTCGAGCACTTGTCTTAGGCATTTATCAAGCACGTAGAGGCTATCAACGTAAACATCCATGGCCTGCTCCGAATACAAAAGCATTGATGCAAATGCCGCTTCAAGTTGCAGGCTACGATGCAGGCAAAAAGTTTGAGAAAAGAAGGGTAGTGGAGAGTACCTCAAAATCCGAATTTTGCGCCTTGCGGGATGGCTTAGAAAAGGCTTCCAAGGGTGTTCGATGGAGACTGCGAAATTATGGAACCCAGACTAAATTTCACCGTCCATACGTATCATGGATTTTCACTACTATTTTGTTAAAAGGAAATACTTATAAAAGCCGTTTTCAAATATTAGAATTTACATACTTTCAGGTGAGCATCAACATTTCAAGCTTTTTTTTTTCCGTTGATTTTCTCCAAAGAAATCTTTAATGCTCAAACTTTCTGGTCATTAGGTGCATTTAAACGGCAAAGAACTGAAAAACACCATATAAAATTTAAAGGAAAAAGAAAACGGCAAGTAATTAATGGTCGGGATCCTCTGTCCAACGGCATATCTGTCCAAGTCTCCTGCCTCGTGCAAAACGACGGCGTCTTAATCTAGAACTTGTTGACGTGGCTTACCTCTTCTATCCTGTCTTTTCCTTTTGTTTTTGTCAAAATTCTACCGTCTTTCGGCTTCCCCTTTATTCAGATATCAAGTTTTACTTTCATGCGGGGTGAAAAAAAAAAAAAATTACTATCATTCTTTCTGGAAAAAAAAAAATGCAAATCTGAAGCTTCAAAGAACCTTGCAAACGGTAGAGTCCATAATTTGATGGCAAATCATGAGTACTTTTAAGGGATATATACAACCTCAAAAAGATTAAAACGCAACCATAGCAAAAAAAATTAGTGGAGAAAAGCAAGCCAGAATTTGATATATACATACTTCTTCTTTTAGAAGGGTTTAATTGATCAAATTTTTGTTTCAGAGAGTGGGATTCCTCCTCAGCTACTCTGGATTGGCATTTTCCAAACCGTTTGGAGTAAAGAATTAGAAGATTTTCTTCTATTACTCCATCGACACAAGGCCCTGTAAGAGATTGCAGTATAAAAGGAGTTCTACCTGAAGGTGATAGACGTCGGGAAGGGTAGTATTTTGACTGCAACGACGTACATGAATGTGGATAGTGAAACCAATTGGGCCTTGTTTTTTTGAAAAGGAGTTTATTTGGATGATTTATTTGAGATAATTATTATAGCGTGATGTATATGTAATAAAAAATTATTAGAATTTATAAATAAATTATTTTATTTCAAAACATATAAATCCAAACACTATTTTATTCCAACGACGTCGTTCGTATTGGATAGTGAAATCGAAACTTGGAAGATATTTTAGAGAGTTATACACAGATCTGACTAGAGCAAAGGAATGCATTGACACCTCCTTTGGATTTTTTCCACTGCAGATGGAATTCAAACCCCCAACGTAAAGTTCAAAGAGGGATTTAGTCCCTTTTTAATGGTAGTTTCAGACAGAAGTTCTCAAGGCAGTAATTATACATTACCCCTCTTTCACATCAAACATTTTAAGTTTTTTTTTTTTTATTTCATTGGTGAAAGTTTCTTTTTCTTAAACATGTATGTATGGGTAACTGGTTTCCATTTCACTTGCCTAGCAAGGAAAAAATTTGGTAAAGCGGTCTGTTTGGATTGAGATTTCTTTATACAAAAATTGTTGTTACATAATATGTTTCTCAATTACCTTTTTTATTTTTACAATTGTCTTATTTATCTCACATATATCATATTTTAAAAATGCTACACCATTATTTCCAAAAAAAAAAAATCTTCCAAAATAATACGATTGTTAAACGAACACAGTTTCCATATCAAAATTCATATAACAGTGCTTCTTCCAACAATAAACGAAGAGCTTAAATCACAGTATTCTCCCCCGCCCCCTTTTCCCCCTTCCAGCTTTCTTGACTTTGGCGAAAGATTACTAGTTAATCACGCCATGCAAATTAATTTAGCTAGCAATCAATCCAAAATTTGTTGCGCTTTCGTACTAAGTTTAATACTTGTCTCAACATGCTTAGGCGCAAAGGGAAATAGGATCCCACTTTCGGCTTTTACCTTACATTCTGATTCTGACTCCTTGAGCCTTGTTGAACTATTGGCAAGAGATTACTAAGCAGAACGCCCCTCATGATTAGTAGAGAATTTAATTCCTCTCGCAGCATAAGAATCACCATTTTGCATACAGATCAGAATACCTCAAGCGAAATTTGAACATAATGCATACGCCCCTTCCCATTTGAGTTCAAAAGCTGGCCATTTAGCAAACGGTGGCAAACCGGCTTTTGTCGAATCAGACGCAGATCATCTCTGCCCAATAAATTAATTCTGCCTCTTAAGGAAAATATGAGAGATTTTACGAAGTCTCTAAACGAACAACTATTACAACATCAAAAGCATTCTAAATGACTCGCAATTCAGAGCTCATGTTTTGCAAAGCCAATAATACACAGTAAACAGACAAGTGACAGCCATAAAAACCCAGCAAAGACCTGGTTGCGTTATTTAAGCCATATCACACAAGGAAAGGGCAACTGAGCTTCATTAGCACAACAACACAGACCATCAAAAAGGGGGAAAAACAAGGTACCCAAACTGGTTGAACTAATGGTTATCAGTTTCTATAGTATATATCGTACTAGCACTCAGCTAGGTGGAATAGATAGTCTGGAGGAAAAACTTCGTCCTTCAGATTATCATGTGAAGATTAAGGACCTCTAACATGATAAACTTATGTTTGCAAAACTAATCATAAATGAACAATGAAGAAAATGAGCGATCTCAAAACTAAACAAGTAGAAAGAATAAGATTCAATGCTAAGACAAGTGGTTGTTGTTTGCCTAAAGAAGCATAAGCCTAGAAACTTGCAGGCTGCAGCAAGAAATGACAAGAATAAAAGAAAGGAAATAGAATCTAACACCTTGCATAATCAAAGGTACATTTGTCATATATCCTTAATTCAACTTGGCAGAGAACACCGTTAAGATCCAAAAGAAAACAATAACAATTGCAAAGAAGATGAAAGGACAACCAGCAGATACTGAAGCCCTTGGTATCCATTCTGTGAAATATTACCCATCAATGTCCATAAGAAATCATTAAAAGTTGTCAATTATGGAAAAGAAATGATGAAGCATATGTGCTACCATGCACGATAGTGTAATGACAAATGAAAACAAGGCATTCCATATTTGGTTCAGGGAAAACATAGAAATGTATCATTGCTCTGCAAGTGAAAGGATTTACTTCTCTTCTGTTTCCTCTACCTTCTGTTGTTCATAACGACGCTTAAATTTTGCAATCTGGCCAATGCCTTCGGTCCTCTCCTGTCTACCCCTTATGTGATAGACTTTACCAACTTGGTGTATTTTTGTCATCATAACGTTGATCAATCGCCCGCTCTGGGTTACGTAGGAAATCCATTGACGCTGTGGATGAATTCCTTTTTTCATCTTCTCCTAATACAATCCAAATTAGGCAAAATTACCAGCAATTTACGATCAAAAACAGGATTCAGAAAGATATAAACTTAGGCTCACGAAATTATGAATGGATACGTTTGAGATGTGCTAGAAAAAAATGAAAAACTCTCAAGCTGCTTAATCCAAACACAGAGCCAAAAAAAAAAAAAAAATCTTTTCCTTTCCTAGTTCTCCTAAAACATATATTCCCTAACTAAACAAGCAAGCAACCAGAGCAACAAGTAATTCTTCGGAAGAGACACCCAGCGTGGCACAGACTTACAGCTAGGAGAGGAAAAGAAAGAAAGAAAGAAATTATTCCCAGGCAACGACTAATAAGAGAAGCATAGTTCACAGTGAAACAAATTACAACATGATCATTTACGTCACAATCCCCTTTCTCTTTTTGACCTCACACGATCATTCTTAACTAACTTTACTCGAGTACTTCTCTTGGGCATTTTATCAAACAAGTAGAGACAGTTACAATGACCATAAGCAGGCATGGCTTACCTCCAGGTCCAGGTGAATATATTGATGCGAATGTCGGATTATAATGAGGGATAAATTTGGAACGAAGGGCAGTGGGCGTTACCTCGAAATCCAAATTGCTCCTAGCGCAATGGCCTACACAAGGCTTGGACGAGAGTTTTGTGGAGGTGCGTCTTCGCTTTCGTTTATGAGACTGCAGAATTAGAAGGAACCAGACTAGCACTAACTTTTTTGCTTCCCCGTAAAAGTAAATGCCCTTCTGCCGTGCCGCCTTCTCCAACGTGCCCATCCATCATACATACTACTGTATTTATCTTTGATCTAACTATTTTGTTAAAACTAAAAAGCACATTTATTAAATGTTACTACAATTTTTCATAAAATAATTTCAAGTTTTTGTTAGTTTGTTTCCTCTGACGAAACTCTTCTATTATGCTTAAACTCTTCTTGTTAGTTTGTTTAAGCTCTCATATGTTGCACATTTGTTTAACCTTTTCAATCAATTGGTATTTGGTACTAAGTTTGTTTTTGTTAATAGAATATGTGTTGCGAAGCGTTTTCCGCCTTATTTTGCCAAGTACCACATCAAGACAACATCCTTCAACAAACACAACAATTTACTTTCCCCTCTCAAACTTTAGTTCATCGTTTGCCATCTTACAGACAAACAGCTTAGATACCTTCCGGTATCTTCAATCGATTTCCATCTTAAATTAGGTGAAAGCCTATTAGTTCATTTGTTGAACTACTGCATCTCATCATCAGCCGATGCAAAATTACTTTAGTTAATTGTCCAGATTATCCGCAATTAATTGGAAGTTTGTCATGGTTCGGTGCTACATAGCTACTCGTCTCCCCATGCTGTCACCTGAAAAGAGATGGATCAAACTTTCGGCCTTTTTCTCTGATTCTGACCCCTTAAGCCTTGGCAAACTATTGGCAAGTTTTCCCAATACAGAGGCTACTAAGCAGCATGCCTTCCAGTTAGTATACTACAGTATACACTTGAACTCCCTCCGTAGCATGAGAACTGCCGTTTGGAATGAAAATCAGAATGCCCTGATCAAAGTTTCGCATGATACATGAATCCTATCTGATTTGAGTTCAAAAACCTGCATTTTTTGCAGAAGGTGGAATCCTGCTTTGTTGAATCAGAAGCATATCAGCTCTGCCAACCAACCAAACACAAGTAAATTTTGCCTCTCATGAGATTACAAGAGATTTTAGGAACAACCATCCATTACAAACATCAAAATATTCTACATGACTCCCATTACAGATCTCAGGTTTGCAAAGCCAATAATACACAGTAAACATACAAGCAACAACCCTAACAATCCAGCAAACCAAGTTGCATTATTCAAGGCACGTCACACGAGGAAAGGCCAATCCTGTACTTACTCTGACCTTCATTAGTACGACAATAGACACCATATCGAATCTAAAATGTTTACATGACTCGCACCATAGAACTCAGGTTTGCAAAGCCAATAATATGCAGTAAACATACATTATCCAATCCCACAAACCTAGTTGCATTATTCAAGGCATGTCAACCAAGGAAAGGCCAATTCCTGTAATGACCTTCATTAGTATGACAACAGACACCATATCCAATCTAAAATGTATCGGCCAATGCTCAGCGGGAACCAAGCATGCTTACACAGACACCATTGTTCGCTGAGACCCTTTGTTGAGGGTATCAACATCCTCAAGAGCCTGATGTGTGACATCTGGCTTCTCAAGGACGCTTGGATTCACACTGTCGATTTCCTCAATGCTAGAAGAAATGGCTTCAAAGATCAGAGCCTTCACTTCTTGGAACCTCTCTTCAGAAAGGGATACCTCAGCTAAGAGCCTCCAAGCATTTTCCTCAGATGCCTCCTCATAATCTTTCTTCTGTTTCAGCACCATATGCCCACTAATCTCCCAAACTGCTGGGTTAACTTGTGTGTCGAGTAGCTCAGCGCTTACTTCTCCAAGAGCTTGTTTCTCTGCATAGCACTATCAATTCCATCCAACAAGAAAGAGGTCAGACGTTACACAGCCAAACAAAATAAACCAGTAAGCAGGAGTACAAGTAACACTCACAACGTGCAAGGTCACCATGAGAAAATACATAACCGGAAATGCTTACCTGTGGGAACAGGAAAATTCTTTTTCCAGAATCCGAGATAAGAACATTGTAAGGGATATTAGTTTCTTGAAGGCAGATGCACGAGTCAGCGACAACATTGGACAAATCCTTGAGAGTATTTCCACCCTCAAACACAAGACCCCTGACTGGATATTTCAGAAGTTCTGAGATTTGCACCCCACCTTTTGTGGTGGTGATCTTCTTAGAGGGAGCCTTCTCAATGGGAAATGGCACAGCCAGGTAGTAGGCCTTTAATTAGAAAAACAAATTACTTAGTCCAGAATTCGTTATAGAGAACTTTCCAACTATGAAATCAAATTAGCAGAGCTTAACGGTACACCATGTAGATGGCAGATTGGAACCTGGAAATGAAGATGGTTGATGGTGGCAAATGCACCCAAGCTGTTGTAACCCAATCGGAAGTATGGGCTTCGAGCCTCTGCAGCCATGTACAGAGCAAGCAACAAGCTATCATGGTCAATGCTCTGAGGCAAGCAATTGAGAATTTGAGGGATTAACAGCACATGTCCATACTCAATAGGACTGACCTGTAAATTAACCAGGACGAATTCAGCTAAAAATAGATGAAATTCTAACAAAAATCAATTACAATGACCATGAAAGGTAAAGTAACAAACGTTTATGGCAACAACACTTGGTGAGTTCTCAGTATCAATGAGTGCACTTGGCAAGAACTGGACTTCATCGCCCGGCTCAAACTGAAAGAGGATCTCTTCCTGCCCAACTTTAGTAAAGTTGAATTTGGTCTCATCAAAGGGCTGCAAAACCTTATCAACTCGAAACTCAGTGGGCCTCTTCTTAAGGTGCCTGCCCTCATTCAGCTGAGCAATAAAGCCATATTCACCAGGAATCACCTATTCCAACATTCGTTGTTTACATCAATGTCATATAGGATTCTCGAGCAAGACATCCTAGAGCCTCAAAACCAAACAGATAATAGATAGTAAAAAGGGAGAAAGCAAAAACCTTGGTTTCACAGGCAGTAACATCATAGCGAAAGAGGCCTCTTTGCATCCGACCCTCCCACTACAGTCAAATTGCTACTCTCAGCACGCATATGTAAAAATAAGAGTTTAATTTAATACCCTAGCATTCTTACGACATATACCTCCCCGAGCAGGAGAGATTCCAGGAAAGGAACCGGAGGTTCTTTGTTCTCACGGCTAAGGCCAACCTTCTCATTAGCAACTTCGTTCAACCTCTTAAAACGATACAAAGGCAGCTTTGCGCCTAGTGTCCAATCAACAGACAGAACCAAATACTACACTTCAGCCCAGAAACACGACATATAAAACAAGAAATTTAATAATCACGGTGCAACAATTGATCAAGTACCTGGAAGGCAACAGTTCATGAGGCAATTTCGGCCGCACCCCCTCCTTGGCGAGCAGCACCTTCCTCCGCCTCTTCCTTTTGGTAGTTGGAAACGACAGTAGGAACCCTCTTAATTCTCAGCATTTTTCATACAAGTTTTCAAATTTCCCAGAGGGCAGCAATTAAAAAGTCAACGAAACCAATCAAAAGCAGAGATTCTTGGTTGGTAACAGAATTCGGCGTACTTAAACACTTGAGCGGTGAAAGTATAATTTTAGTAGTGCGAAAAATCAATTTTAACTTTAAAATACTGCTATATAAATTAGACCTAATAAAAAAGTTAATGACCGCCGCCGGCGAGGAAGAGGAGGTCGGAAGGGCTGCCGCCTTCAGAGGGCAAGGCGCCTCGTCCGCCGTGCGGCGAAGGGTTGTTGCTCTCGCTTAGACAACCCTTGCGTCGTACAGTTCGGACATGTATGAGAGGGCGGAAAGCTCTGTGTATAGCCGTGATGTCTGCAACTCGTTTAATCCTGGGTCTTACCCTGCACCTATCAAACCTGCAATTGCCAAATCGCATTAACACACCTTTGTTTCCAGCCTCCGGGGGTGGTTGATAGCGATTGCAGAGATTCAATCGATTAAACTATATCCCGCTCGGTTGGCTAGCTGTAGAAGCAAGGCAGGAAGGGGAGGGTTTGGTCTGCAAAACGAGGAGATTTGCTGCTGGTTTTTTGCTGGGTGATTTGGGGGCGGAGATGGCAATGAAAGGCGGGTGTATATATAGTAATTACATTATCCGAAGATAAGAGTTGGGCGGGTAAGGATGCAGCAGTGGGTATGGTTATTGGAGGGAGTGGTCCCTATGTCCGTGTCTTTGACACTGCTGAATGGGGACCGGAATCCGGGTATGGGGTCAAAAAAGGGTGTACAAAATTTTTACTTCTACGGTATTTTATTATGGAGTATTCATATTTCGTGATTTCATTGGATACTTTTATATAAATATAAAATTTGTAGTGAAGCTTATTCATGTGTTGTTTTCGGATTATCAACCACTGAAAAAGAACGCTGAACCCTTGATACTCTCCATTTGTCCGAATTGAGGCTGAGGCAAGAGGCGAGAAGTGAGTAGTGATTTCCAAAATAATGAGCCAGTAGTGTTTGATCGGAGCTTTTGAGACTCAAATTGACTTACGATAACGACATGATGATGTTCGTGGAGAAAAAAATTAATTTAAAAATATGTTAAGATAATATTTTAAAAGCTTTTTAAATATATATGAGATAAAATAATAGTTAAAAATATGTCAATAAAATATTTATAAATTTTTTTACATAAAAAGGTATTTTTTTAAAAACTTTTTCATATAAAATGTGGTTAAAAAATATGTTACGAGAGATTTTTGGGGGAAAAGCCGCATTCCAAATGGGACCGCTCTGGGAGAAAATTAGCCTCCTTTCGTGAACCGTTTTTTGTAAACGGATGTGGATTTGAGTTGAATACAATCCCCAAAAAAAAATTTAAATGCATTTACGTAGTGTCATGAATCTAATGCTGATAATGTATGCACCGTCAGTGTAGGAAAGATTTACTCTTAACACAATTGAGCTGAACTTGACTTTTAACCTTGCTCGGACTCCATGGAGAGCTCTAAAAAGAAAAATAAAAAAGAGAAGAGCTCCTAGCGTAAATCTCGAGTTTGAACTTGAGCTCAAGTTCAATCCTGGGTTAAAATTAAATTTAGTACTAAACGTAGAAATTCAACAATGAATAGCCTTTTTATTACAAAAAAAAAAATTTCCAATAGGGAATAAATAGATTTGCAAAGTGCAGGAAAAAAAATTTCGAATTCAAAACTGCTAATTCAAT